GTCAGTTTGAAAGGAAGCATTTGCAGAAGAGATGGGCGTACCTTGGGTACAAGATGGACTATGCTACCACATATCAAGGTACCGGGCTATAGGCTCGCGTTTCTCGTTGCTTCTAGATCTCTGAACCGCTATCGAGTCACTCTACGAGGAAGCTCGTGTTTCGTTAGGAGGGCGCCTGACATAGGATGCCCTAGAGGTACTCGGTGTGTTGTATGTTAGCAGATGTTAATATTGGCTACATCGAATACCTTCCGGGTGAGTCGTGTCGCTACATAACACTAGTAAGCAAATTCAGAATTCTGGTAATCATCGCTCATAAAGGCAGTAATACGCTGCCAAATTCTGTGCGTCCCAAGCACGGAGAGTTCTTCAGCTGATGCGGCTCATCTATCGCGTTGACTGCGTTCGTGCGAGGGTATGGCTGAGAGTGGCATCTTCTCCCAAGAAGGCATCACAAGAATATGGTAGCATACTCACGAAGGCTGATGCTGGGCTTTACGGCCTTCTGTACTAGCTCGATCATCAAGCTCGCCAAGTATTCCGAAGACATCCAGGCTCACTTTATACCTAGGTAGCTCAATCTTTCCGAGTGCACTCACGAGATCAAGTCGGGCCGTTGGATAGGTAGAGTAGCGTTTTCATTGTTCCTGATGCTAGTTTGTCATCATGTCAATGGTCTATACTCTAATCAGTGTCGCGAAGGACGACAGGCTCATGTATCAATTCAGTATCCTCATTCGCGATGACCCTGTAGTCGGCAAGCCCACCTGTAATCTGATATTTTCTTGTGTGCTTTCGGAAATATCTCACTGCTAACTATGAAGATGAAGGATGAGCAGTGAATGGCAGAAGCTTCCGGCGATGCACGTGATATCGCGCCCGCCCACAGTCCGTGCCCGTCGCGCCTTCCTCGCAATATTGACCCCACAAACAAAGCCTGATCTGCCAAATTACCTCACAGAACGAAGACGGTGACTGCCAGTCGCTATCTCACCAGTGATGGCGCGCGGAAGACGCGCTAAGGCCGCCGCCTATCACTGTGCGATATGTGAGCAGTCCTTCTCCAGCAAAGCTGAGCTCAACCACCACACTGCCAATCACGACGACACCAGCACTGCGAAGCTGGTGTGCGCCACCTGCGGCTGGTATTTCGACGATTCGCACGCCCTCGAGCTCCATCAGATACAGAGCAGTCACGTACCTCCCCAACCAGCATCTACGAACTTGACAACGGCGCTTACCCCGTCGATCGACGAAATGGCGGTTCACTGCGATCGTTGCCAGAAGCAGTTCGTTACTCAGAAGCAATTCAGTAATCATCGCAGCAACATGGCGAGTGCGTGCGCCGACTGGAAGCACCCCACAACAAGGCCGCAGCCACCGACACCCGCTGTAGTTGCCCCGGGGTACGTTGACCTCGACAGACCCAACGACGAGCCATCTGTAGTCCCCAACTACGATGATGGCGCATCATCATCATCTGACTCCGTCGATAGCGATGTCGGCATCAAGTGCAACGACTGCAAGCGCACCTTCCGCTCCCTGGGCCACTACAACAACCACATGCTAGGTTGCACTCCTGTATCGACGACCACACAAGTCCGCGAGGTGCTCCCGGTTACCGGGTTGGGTAGCTCTCCAGTCACCATAAACCAGATGAGGGCTGCAAACGCACCTGTACTGGCACCCCGAGCCCCGATTTCGTCTAATGTATCCTCCACGCATACCAGCAATCCGGCCGCTTTTGCATGCGATACCCGTGGTTGTGATCGTTCCTTCAGGTCCGAAGCCGGCCTCAAACAGCACAAGCAGGACGCTCACGGTGTCGGAGGTCAGGCATTGAACTTGGCCGGCCGCGACTCATGGATGCTCAGCAATCGCGAGCGAGAACGAATGCGGCAAGAAGGTTTGCTTCAACAAACTCCTTCCTCTCGAGGTCGTGGCGGCCAAGCAGGTCGTCCAGCCCCTCGTGGAGCACCTCCCCGTACTTGGGGGGCTCTCTCTTCAACCAGACCATCCGTGCAGCAACAGCAATCTGCCTTCGCTCGTCCAATGCCGCAGCAACCTCGCTTGCCAGTCCAACAACCTCCTCCTGCCCCCAACAGCATCAACATGGGCGGCATTGCGGAGCTTGACCAGGCCAAATCTATTCAGGCGAAGACACAACGCTTGCTCATCCAATCAGATGTCTTCATTCTACACGATGGAAAGGTCAACGCCTGCGATATTATGTGGACTCGGATCGGTGCCGCCAAACAGTACGACGTGGTTACGATGCTCGACGGCCTGTGCCATCTCCCAAAAATGCTACAAGGCGAATACATACCTCCTCCAAAGGCATTGAAAGAAGATTACAAGGCCACGTATCTGTCAAGCGACTTCAAAGCCTCCCCCGAACGCAACATGGCCAAACCAGGCCTTGGCGCAGTCGCCATCTCATGCAGCAAAATCCTGCTAGCAAACGGCTGCCCCGAGGTTGTCAAGATAGCAGCTGTTGATCTGATCACTTGCCGAATCCTTATGAACCACCTTGTCTGTACTGATCCGCACGCAAAAGTCAAAGATTGGTACTCCCCGGTCACCGGATTGTTTAGTTGGGACGACATGGAGGGAGCTCGAAAAGCCGGGTACAAGATCTTCAAGGGCTGGGCGGCAGCACGGGACGCGCTACACAGGTTCGTCGACAAGGAGACCATCATCGTTGGCTGCAACCTGCGTTCGGATCTAGACGCTCTCCGTATGATCCATGGACGCGCCGTCGATATCGCCAAGGTCGTTGAGAAGGCTGCTCAGGGTCCGCTCAGCAAGGCGCAGCTAGCACTGGATGGCTTGTGTCGCGATTTTCCTGAGATCAAGCTCAAGAGCGACCCCGAGTATGGCCGGGACAGTCTGATGAACGCTTTTGCGGTACGTGAGTTCGGCTTGTGGGCGCTTAAGAACGCCGATAAGCTCGGCATGTTGGCGAAAAAGAGGAGTCGAGAGTATCAGAACGCTATGCCAAAAGTTGCTGTTGCAGGAGCTTGATGAGATACGCAGAGTTTGAGACAGACAGAACAGATGGGACTACGACAACGAATGCAAAGAACTGAACCCACTTACTGGTGATTGCTGTGATGTAACATGTGCACTGCAGACAACATCAGTACAAACAATGACATCTAATAAGACCCCAAGGCGATGTAGACTCTTGGGTGATTTGCACGAAGATACCTACGACTTCTCGTTCTTCTCCTCCTGTTCCTTCTCCACAACATCCACCACAAACGCACCACCCAGCAAAATCGCCGGCTCATCAATACTATGATGCTCATAGCTCAACGTCCCCACACCACCCGCCTCCAGAATCAAACTAGGATTCTCCTCTAACCTCTTCCCCACCCACCTCGCCGCAAAGCTCCTCAAGATATGTCCATGCGCCACAATAAGCACATCATTCGGCTTCCCATCCTTCCCAAACTTACCCTTGTGGTACTTCTCCCTCAACTCCTTGATCAACTTATCCAGTCTCTCCGTCACATCCTCCGGGCTCTCGCCGCCTTCGCACCCGTCTTTCCAGATGTCCCAGTTAGATCCCAATCCGCGTTTCTCGCGGTCGGCTTTTATTTCAGAGGTCACGCGGCCTTCGTAGTCGCCGTAGTCCCATTCTCGGACGGTTTCTGTTACTTCGATCGTGGCGTGTGTGCGGATGTCGGGCGTGTGCGGTTTTGAGGCGTCGTGCCAGGGGTAGCGTTCTTTGCAGCCGAGGTTTAGGAGTTCGAGGGTACGTTGGGAGCGTGTGCGGGGCGAGACGTAGCTGTGTGGGTGGGGTCAGTGGCTGAGAGTTTGGGGGTTTCTTGGGTTGTATCTAAGGGTTCGAAGAAGGGGTTCTGGGCATACATATGCGCTAAATTGCTTGGTACGATCAATCTGTCGTCGCCGACGAGCGCTTTGCCAGTGGCTTTTACGCGCTTCTCGCCGTTTTCGGTGAGTGGTATGTCTGAGACTCCTGTGTGGCGTCCGTTGAGCGACCATTCTGTTTCGCCATGGCGGATTATGAAGACTCGTGGGTCGGGCATTGTGTCTATTCGTAGACCTGCTGTTCTAACTGCTGGATGAGGAAGATCGTAGTGATAAGACGCGACGCGCAGGGAATGGATCAATTGGAATGTTCGGCAGGAAAGCGCGTGTTTAAGACGAGGTCGCAAGCAACGTTATGAAGGTAAGGTCTAAGGAAAGCGTGGAACGAAGTATGCAACCATCACGGCAGCTACCGGAGCTCAGTCCGTAGGTATGACGTTGGTATGGGGAATTATTTGGCATGGTGGGGCGTGCCAGGGACGTGTTGGAGCTACCCCACCATATCCGCTACACGCGCCTTGTCATGCTTCGACGCGCGTAGTAAGCCTTGGTCATCGCCTTGTTGAGAAATATGAATTTAAGATGGCTTCGGGTATATGCTGAGCTCATTCACTTCTGCAAAAGGAAAGAGCAAGTGGCGCGAAGGTGAAAGACAAGCGTGAGGTATCTTAGCTGATATTTGGTACAGAGACGGAACTGATCTCCTTTCTGAAGATGCCTGGGCAGATATAGACGCGAAGGCACCTGCTTTACCATCTATCTAGACGCGTGTGAAAGCCGACCCATCTCATCACTCCGCTACAATGGCATCATTTGGCACGCACTGGAAATACCATTCTAACAAAAATTAGTTTCGTAGCAGAAGAACGACGCATTAGTCTCCACATACCATTCTGTTCCACGCATGTTGAGCCCTTTTCGCAAACCGTGCAGCCGTCCCAAGGCTTAGTGTAATCCCAGCCTCCGCACTTGTAGTAAGCAGGTACAGGGCATCTCGTGCTGCTTGGGCCAGTCTCCTCAGTGGTGGTCTTTGTGGGCTTCTCGGTAGTCTTTGTAGTCGTCTTGATAGTAGTCTAAGGAGGTTAGTATGTATTCACGATGAGAGACTACAATGACTCACCTTTGTCGGGGTAGGCTCTGGCTTCTTGCTAGTCGTGGGCGGTTCAGGCTTCTTGGTCGTGGTGGTCGACGTTGGTGCTGGCTTCGTACTTGATTTGGGGGGTTCCGGCTTCTTCGAAGTGGTTGTAGGTGTTGGCTCGGGCTTCTTGCTTGATGTGGTCGGCTCTGGCTTCTTGGTCGTTGTCGTTGTAACTTTGCTTGTCGTCGGCTGCGGGACACCCGATGTAGGCCGGCTGATGTTGTCGGTGCAACGGCCTCCAATGCATGTAATTATGTACGTCTGGCGAGGCACGATGTCAACATGATTGTTTGCTGGCGCCTATTTCGAGTCAGTATGAGCCACCATTGCGAGTATCGAGCTACTTACCGCAAAGCATACTGCCGAAAGGCTTGTCAAAAGCGCAAGCGTGGTGAGCTGCATGGTGATTTGATAGTCGGATAGGAATGTATTCGTGAAAAAGATGCTGATCCAGCTGAGGGGTCTGAATTGATGGGACAGCGACAGCATCTTATACCCACGATCTCATGCTACTAGTCGGCTCAAGTCTAGGAAGTCAATGACAGGCTCAATGATGGCTTTGTGGCTCCTGTTCTGAACACCCGCGGCTCCATTGTAGACATGCAGTCTGGCCAGGGCCAAGCTCAGATACGAGGCCATCCCAATCTGCTCTTGCATTCGCCTATATTGTGGCTAGCGAGTTTGTGTGCCATTGTGACGGTACAGGCAATGTCAAGCATGGCGAAATCTCGTGCAGTCAGCTAAATACGACAAAGCACTCAAAAAACGCATTTGGAAGCCTTGAACAGATAGAATGCGCTGCGATCTATGGAGATATCCGCGTTTGTTGCTGTGTATTGCAGAGCGTTTCTTAGACGAGTTACCCACGACACAAAGCTACAAGCCTTGCACGAAAGGTCCTTGCCTAAAGGCAAATCGAAGCTCGCCTGCGTTCCGAAATGCTTCGCGACTGTCCTTGATGCTATTCTTATCCATGGCCACGCTTATAGACTGGGGTACGTTTTAGCCGCAAATTGATACCCATTTGACCCATGTCACAACACCAGACTCGCACTCACTCCAGAGCGATAGTGATTGGTATCCCTTCTCCACATGGCGACAGGATAGAGTATTCGATACAAGCAGTGAGACTGGTTGCCGGAACACTTGACGGGAAACCCGCGCGACGCTTGAGACGATCGCAGGATTGTGCCGTAATCCGGGGGCGGATAATTGAGATGCAGAAAAGTGGGCTCGTTGCATGCTGGTCCAGATTTTGGGTTTAACACTGCTCGAAAAGGCTCTAGCCGAGTGCTGGTAGTAGTGCTTCAAGAGGCACATGGGTAAAATGAACGGTAGTTACTGTCCGTGACCGGAGGGTAGTACCTGATCATTCACCACCTGCTCCATTCTGTTGCTGAGTGCCGTTTCCCAGAAGGTCTCCAACACCAATCCACTTCCTCACAAGGAAGGCGCCCTGTGGCCTCAGCTTCCTGTAGTATCCCTCTTCTCTCTCAAGTATCTCAAAGTTCCGTTTCTTGTACCATTCCATGCCTTCCTCATTGGCCTCCCATACATGTGCTGTGACACAGCGTACACTGTGAAGCTCGACGGCTTTCTTCACTATCGTCTGTAGAAGATGCATAGCGATGCCGTGGGAGCGGTAGGGAGCTAGGACGCCAATAGTGGAGATGTATAGGTTCGAGGAAGGAAGTATGCGACATCGGACGGCACCAACTAGATGTGGTTTCTCTGTGGGTGATGCTGAGGTGGCATTCGCGGGCGACGAGTGCCATACTGCTACGAGGGTAATGCCGTGGTGTGGCTCGGTCATTGTTTCCTTGTAAAAGGTCTCTGGGTAGGATATGGGGAGAGTGAGGGTATTCAGGCGCTTGAATGCTGGTAACAAGTCTTCGGTGAGGGGTACGAGCTGGACGTTCGGCGGTAGAGGGCGTAGGTCGAAGAGCTTCGGGATGGCTGGCTGTTGGGTAGAGAGGGAGATGGGTGAAGGTATGCGCGAGATAGCAGGCGTGACTGTTCGAGAGGGACGAGGGCTCTTCTTTGATCGCGGTCTTGAGGGTGCTTGGAGGAAGTCGTCGGGTATGTCGTTCCAGTTCTCCATGGCTGAGGCCGTAGGGGTCGGGTTAGAAGGAACGCGCGTCGGCGCAGAGACAGACTTTGGGGGAGGCGGTGGCCGGTTCGTCTTTGATGATGCCATTGGAGGAGCGTTTGAGGGCGGCGCGGGTTGTTTATCGAGGCTTGGCTTCTTGAGCCAGTTGTTTAGGGAGGACTGCATCGCGGGCAGAGAGGGGCTGGGTTGGCTGTGATGATGTCGTCGTGGGTCGTGGTTTGGGTAATGATAGCCAATGGATGGTCACGTGGACAACAGCCAGTTGCTCAAGTTGTATCCTCGCGGTGCGTTGTGAATTGTCACGTAATGGAAGCGCAACCCACAAACACAAACATGAGGGGAGACTTCTGGTGTTTCCCTGACGCGCCCTCGGATCGTTTGCAGGGATGTTTCCTAGCGTGCTTTCGTCGGCCAAGCCGTCAGCTCCGACTTCTTGCAGGAACAGCATCATCGCCCTAGAAATCCCCAGGAGCCACCACCGCAACCATGGGCGCCGAGAACTCAAAACCCTCGTCAGAGGTCAAGCAGCACGTCTTCTCCTCGTACGTCGCATCTTCCGCATTCAATGGCCCCGGCCCCTCATAAGAGATGAATCAGCCAGTGACGTCGTGTGCTGATAATTTGCGCGCAGAGATCACCCCTACAGCTTCTCCAATGAACTCGTCGGATCGCTGCAGAAGAACACTTTCGTACGTCCAATGGCTCAAATGGACGAATTGGGGCTAACTCACTTGCAGACAGACTCGGCGCGATCAAGACAGCAAGAACTCCAGTACCAGGAACGTCTAACCGCCGAGCTCGAGAAGCTGCGCGAACAAGAAACCCAAAACTTCTCCAAGTTCAGCGAAACCCTCTCCACCGAGACCCCACAGTCGGATGAACCCTCCCTAGTCGAGAAGATCCAGGATGCGACATCCAGCAGCTCCACCCTCGCCGAGAAGCAAAGACAAAAGGACATGAGCAGGGACAGTGTCACCAAGGAGATCGAGCAGCTCAAGGCGAAGCTCGAGCAGAGGAAGAAGTTGGAGCAAGCCGATGCCGATGTCACCAAGGCCAAGGAGGCTGTCGTCTCATGTCTGCGGACACACGACCGCCGGCCGCTGGATTGCTGGAAAGAAGTCGAGACCTTCAAGCAGGAGGTCGGACGCCTGGAGAAGGAGTTTGTACAAAAGACCATCCGATGAGCCACGACGCGAGATCGTGACGGTGAGGTTTGGTATAGGCGCCTTTGTATAGTTGGGTTAAGTGGGATAACATCCTCGAGGGCATTTCTTATCTCCAAATCCCTACATTACTTATTACTTGCATCTTGCTGAACACATCGCTACTACACTACGTATGTGGAATCGCGCGGGGTACATTTACTGCAATATGTTTATGACTATGGATTACGTCTCATTCCACTGTCGGATCCTCCAGTCACCACAACTATCTTCTATTCCTTGCACATTCCGAGAGATTGATCTCACATTTTATGTATGTTTGTTCATGACTTTGGCTACCAGTGGACCAGGATCACCTTTGCATCGCAATCTTCATCATCACAACTCGCCTTCACCGCGCGTTAGGACGCGTGAGCTCTCTAGGTTGCCCACGCCATTTGCAAAAAACTGACCTGCAGCTCACCTTCCTTCCCTTTCGGGCGTCTACCAGACTCACCTTCACCGTTGATGCCTTGGCGCTCTGGCCTCTTTGTTAAAATAACAGCACAGTGTCTCTCGCAGTTTCGACTGCTAACTACCACGCAAGCAGCTTCAAATAACGGCGACAGCAACACTGTGCCTGCATTTTCGTTGCCTTTCGCAACTCTCAAGTCGCGATAAATCTCCAGCCATCGTTGCTTGCGCGCATATTGCAGCAATCGCCTAGTCGCGACTTCGTGCACAAGGCAACTGCCAGGTACGTCGCGTGAATCGTCGCGCCTTCCACTCTAAATTTCATAGTCGTGTCGCTAAGATCAAGCAGCAGCAGCAGACAACATGTCGTCAACACGACCCTACATGGTACTCGACGAAGATGACGAGAAGTGGAACGACAATGAGAGCGATATCGAGTTGCTTGACTATGGTGAGCCGCTACTTCCAAGTTGAACAAAGCTTGTTGATTGACATTTACCTTTAGACTCCGAGTCCGATCCTGACATTATCGCGACTAATTCTCGTGAGGCGTCTGCTACACCAACCACTCCGAGCTCGAACGAGGGAAAGACCCGCACCCACAAACCTCTGCCAAGCAACGAAATATCTCTACCGGATGTTGCGATCCAGACATACAAAGTCGGCACAGGTTTCGTCATCAAACCGGGCGACACAGTGGAATTGAAAGATCACTCAAACCAAAATGAGGGCGCTATGCATTCGGGAGACTTTCTACGCATCAAGAACATACTCATGAACATGGAGACGGATGAAGTGCGACTCCGCGGTTGGCGCATGAGGCGTACAAAGTACCTTGGTCAGGTCTTCGACTGTGAGTACGACCGAAAGACAGACTTGAGGACATGTACTGACTTCTCTCAAGGGAAGATGAACGAACTGGGCATGGTCCTACGTCTTGATGAAGATGACACTACATCACCTTTTGTCGCTGGAATGGTAGACATCGAAATCGAAGATGTCCTACGAGTACGCGACTGTACGCTGACCAACAAACCCTACCCGTTCCTCAGCTTCCGATCCGACGGTTGTGCTGCATGGCCGAATAGTATGAGTAAGGACGAAATCAAGCGACAAATCTTCCACGGAGGTAGGCTCATTTGCCGTGTCGTCAACGTTCTCTACATAAGTGGCACAAGGACAAAGCCATATGGAGGCGTCGTCCGTCATCTATATACCCACGAGGCGGATGCGATTGCGACACCAGCTCAAATTTCGGATCCCGGTAATTCTCGCCAGACTTCAATATCGGTAGAGGAAACTGAAGAGGAAGGATACGTTGTCGTGAACCAGACGCCTTCTGCAAAGAAGCGGCGTGCACGCGAGGACTCTCCTGACTTCGAGATCTTGGAACAAGAGCCATCAAAGCGAAAGAGTCAGCACCCATCGAAGCAGGGCCGTTTAGTGTTCGGAGACGTGTTCTGTGGAGCTGGGGGTGCCAGTCAAGGCGCTGCCCAAGCTGGCTACTACGTGCAATGGGGTCTCGACAATGACGAACGCGCGCTTGCTGCATACCGCCTAAACCATCCTGGTGCGTACGCATGGAAGATGAATGCACATGATTTCCCACCGAAGGGTATCAGCAAAGAGAACTGGAAAGTCGACGTACTACACCTCTCGCCCCCTTGTTGTTACTGGAGTCCCGCACAGTAAGAGAACACTTCCATTATGAGATCGTTTACTAACACCTGTCAGTACTCACGATGGACCCAAAGATCAAGAGAACTATGAAGCCATCTACAC